GACTAGTAGGAATTATGCTGCTGTGAATATTCACCTACAAGTCTTTGTGTTGACTTATGTTTTAATTTTTCTTGGATTAGAGTTGCAAGATTTAGCAAGTTAAAATACAGGATGCCGAATTAAATTCAAATGTCAGATAAACAATACTGTTTTTAGTATAAACATGTTCCATGCAATATTTTGGACAAACTTATACTAAAAAATTGTTTGTTTTTATCTGACACACAAATTTAACTGGGCCTCCTGTATTTTATCTGGCACCTCTACTGATACCTAGAAATGATATTACTGGGTTACATAATAGGTTTCTATTTAACCTCTTAAGATACTGCAATCTGTTTTCCAAAGGGAGTGTTTACATTCCAGCAATATGTGAGATTCATCTTTTTCTCATCTTTATTTACACTTGGCTATCTGTCTTTTTAAAAACTATAATCATTTGAGTGTGTGAGGAGTGGTTTCTCATTGTGGTTTTAATTTCATCAAGTCTTTATAAAGAATTATGTTTATTAGCCATTCACATATCTTCTTGGGAAAATGTCAAATCTTTTGACCAATTTTTATTTTTACTTTTTTTGTCACAGCCCTACACATAATTCATGGCATTCAGAACCTCACTTTATCAACTGTTGCCAAATTACCATTTAAACATTAATACCCAAATACAGAATTTAGAACATTATTTTACATTTTAACTCTACCATCCCCAATCTCTGAGCAATGAATTTGTTCAACAGTTTTTAATTGGGCCATTTGTATTCTTACTGAATTGTAAGAGTTCTTTATACATTCTGAATACAAATCTCTTATCAGATGTATGATTTGCAAATACTTTATCCCAGTCTTTGGCTCATCTTTTCATTCTCTTGTTTTTTAAAGCCCCAAATATTTTAATTGTTGTGAAGTCCAATTTATCAACTGGTTTTTAATACATTTTGCTTTTGAAGTCCTATTAAAATCATTGCCTAACCTAACATCACAAAGATTTTCTCCTGTTTTCTTCTAGAAGTTGTATAGCTTTAGCTCTTACCTTCAGGTGCATAATGAGCTGAGGGTCTAATTAACTTTCTCCCTTTTTTTCTTCCTTTTAAAATACAGATATCCCATTGTCTCAGCACCATTTATTGAAATGACTGTCTTTTCTCCTGTTGAATTATCTTTGTGCATATCTTGAAAGTCCGTTGGTCGTCTGTGAGGGCTTATTTCTGGACTCTTAATTCTGTCCCATTGCTGTATATGACTGACTGACTGTCCTTGTGTCAATAAACACTGTCTTGATTATTGTGGCTTTACAGTAAGTTTTGAAATTGGGTAAGGTAATTCCTCTAATTTTGTCCATTTCAAAATCATTTAGGCTCTTTTAGACATTTTGCATTTCCATGTAAGTTTTTAGGATCAGCTTATGAATGTAAAGAAAAATATTTCTGGAATATTGCTAGGGATTGAGTTGAATCTATAGAACAATTTGGGGAGAATTGCCATCATAACACTGTTGAATTCTCTAATCCATGAGCATGGAAGTTCTCATTTACTTAGATCCTTTGATTTCTCTCGGCAGTATTTTTTTCAATTAAATAAATGTTTACTATATTCTATTTGACGCTATTCTTAGTTTACTTTCGAAGGTACTGTTTATTGCTAATATAATGTCAATTTTTAAATATTGATCGTGTATCCTACAACCTTGCTGAATTTATTAGGTCTCTTAGCTTTTTTTTTTTTTTTGAGACGGAGTCTCGCTCTGTCACCCAGGCTGGAGTGCAGTGGCGCGATCTGGGCTCACTGCGAGCTCCGCCTCCTGGGTTCACGCCATTCTCCTGCCTCAGCCTCCCCAGTAGCTGGCACTACAGGCGCCCGCCACCTCGCCCGGCTAATTTTTTTGTATTTGCGGTAGAGACGGGGTTTCACAGTGTTAGCCAGGATTGGTCTCCATCTCCTGACCTCGTGATCCGCCTGCCTTGGCCTCCCAAAGTGCTGGGATTACAGGCGTGAGCCACCGCATCCGGCCAGTCTTGTAGCTTTAAAAATTTTTTTTCCAGTGGATTCTTTAGAATCTGACAGGTAATATTACTTAATAAAGACAGTTTTACTTTTTTCCCCAACCTAATGTCTTTCTAGTCTTTTTGTAGGGAGAGGGAATAGGGATTGGATAGAACCTCCATGACAACATTGAATAGAAATGATGAGAGGATGTTCTCGACTTGCTCCTGATTTAAGGAGAAAAGTATTCTGTCTTTCACCATCAAGTATGTTGGCTGTGAGATTTTTATCGATGCCTTTCACTAGGTTGAGGAAGTTGCCTTCTATTTCTAGTTTTCTGAGTTTTCATCACGAATGGGTGCTGAATTTTGTCAAATGTTCTTTCCTGTGGCTATTTAGTTATCATAATAATAATGATTTTATTGTTTCTTCTATTAGTATGGTATAATACTTCGATTTTTTGATGTTAAACGAAGCTTACAGTCCTAGGATATGACCCATTTGGTCCTGGTGTACAAATTATTTTATCTGTTGTTGGATTCAGTTTCCTAATATTGTGTTTTAAGGGTTTTTGCATCTATCCCCACTGGCTTTAAATACTTTTAAAGTATAGGTATTTAAAAGTGTAAATTTCCCTTTAAGCAGTGCGTTAGCTGTACACTATAAATTCTGACATGCTGTACTTTCATTTTCATTTAAAATTTTAGAACTTCCTTTGTGACTTCTTCAATACATGGGTTTTTAGAAATGTGTGATTTAATTTCCAAATATTTTGGGATTTGCAATTTTCTTTCTGTTGACTTCTAATTTAATTTAAACATGGTTGGAGAACATACTTTCTACTATTTCAACCCTTTTAAATTCAGTGAGACTTCTTTTATGAAATAGTATGTGGTTTCCCTTGGAGAATGTTCCATGTGCACTAACAAAGAGGATGCATTCTGTTGGTGGTGGGTGGTGGTGTTAGGACAATTTGGCTGACAGCATTCTTTTATATGCCTGTGATTTTCAATTGAGTCGTTCTATCAATTATAGTAGGTGTCAAAATCTCCAAACATTAAATTGTCCATTTCTCCTCTCAATTCTATCATTTTTCTCATTATTTTGGGGTCCTGTTAGGTGCATATACATAACTGTTACATCTGATACATTGGCTTTTCAAAGTATCCTCATTTCCAGTAACATTTCTTGTCTCAAAGCCCTCTGTATTAATATAGACATTCCAGCTCTCTTACAATTACTGTTTGCATGTTATATATTTTTCCATACTTTCACTTTCCAGCTATTGGTCTTTGAATCTACAGTGTGCCTCTGTGAACACCATGTAGTTCATTTTTCTTTTTAAATCCATCCTGACCATCTCTACCTTTTAACTATTTAGTCCATTCACATTTAATGAAATTATTGGTATGATTACTTATGGCTGCCATTTTGGTATTTGTTTTCCAAACGTCTATCATTTTGCTTCTCTGTCCCTTTCTGCCTTTTGTGTTAAATATTTCTTGGTGTACGATTTTGTTTTTTTAATATATTTTAAAATTGATGCTTTAGTGGTTACTCCAGGGTCTACAGTATGCATTTCAATTTATTACAATCGTCTTCAAATTAGGAATAATTAATTCTACTAAAATACAGCTTTGTCCCAATAGAGCTCCATTTCCTACCTACTCCCTTGTGTTATTAATATACACTGCACCTATACTGTAAACCCAACAGTATGGTGTTATAATTACTATATAGTCTTATGCTATTGAAAGAAAACTTGTATTGTGGTAGGCAAATATTTCCCCAAGATTTCCATTCTCTATTTAATCCAACACTGATCTTGGTACTGCTGTGAATAGACTTCGAAGGTAAAACTGACGTTACTAATTAGGGTAATTATCCTGGATTATCCAGATGGGCCCTGAGTAATCACACGGCCCCTTAAAAGCTGAAGAGGGAAGCAGAAGCATCAGAGAGATGCAGTGGAAGAGACAGTGGAGATATGAGGCAGAAGGGGAGATCAGAGAGAAGTGCAAGGATTCAACCCATTGTTGCTGGTTTTGATGATGGAGGAGGGAACCATGAGCCAAGCAATGTAAGTGGCTTCTAGAAACTGACAACCACCCCTGGCCAACCTGTCTTACAACCATATGGAGCTGAATTCTGCCAACAACCTCAATGGGCTTGGAAGCCTATTCATCTCCAGCTTCCAGAAAAGAATGTTGCCCAGCCAATGCCTTCATTTTGACCTTTTAAAATATGGAGCAGAGAACCATCTTGAGCTATGTTATGCCCAGACTTCTGAATTACGGAACTCTGAGATCATAAATGGGTGTTGCTTTAAGCCAGGACAGTTGTAGTAATTTATGGCAGCAATACAATCATAGTCTTTTCTATCTGTACACATATCCACCATTTCTGGTGCTCTTCATTTCATCCTGTGGATTCAGGTTACCATCTGGTGTCATTTATTTTCTGTGTGAAGGATTTAGTATTTCTTGTAAGGTAGATGTCCATAGGCAACAAATTATCTTAATATTTGTCTGGGAACGTCTTTAGTTTCCCTTTTTTTCCAACTTTCAACAAAAGCTCCATATCCTCGTGATGTCTTTATTATACAGAAAAAAAAAATCCCTAAATCCAGCCTTCAAATTGAAGTAATTATCTTTAATGTGAGAGCAATCCTATTCACAAAGCCCCTCCCCAGAGTCAATCAAGGATTTGGGGACCACATCTCATCATTTTCCCAGTTCTCTTGTCAAGCCAAGTTTTCACCCCCAGGAGACTAACAAATGTGCTGACCCAAAGGCAACAGAGTTCACCTGTAGACAGGTCCATCATGCCCCCCTGGAAGACCCACACCCCTAAGCATGTGGAGAAGAGCCTCCAGGCACAGAGACACACCTGCAGACAGGAGGACACTCCCCAAACATGCTATAATATTGTAACTTGCACTAGGCAGGGTTAGAAAACTTCTAAAGACTCTTGTAACTCAAAGGTTCTAGTTGCCATCTACAGCAGCTACATATGGCATGACTCATTCCAACATACACACTTTATTTTAAAATATGCCACTGGCACTTGGGAAAAATGTAATTTATTTGCACTGCTTCCGTTCTTCTACTGTAGTGTTAGGACTTAACATAAGCATCACTCTTCTATTTCCTATTTACATTTGGAATATTACTACAAATACAATATACAATTTAAAAAACTTATGGGGAAATGCAGCTTATGTTTTTTTCTCCTCTTTACAGGCTTCTCAGTATCATTCGACTTAAATGGAAATTTGTATGTAGATTTTCTGTACATATCTTAAAGGGCAGAGATTACACTGATAAAGCCAAAAGAATTCTGCACAAATACAATACAGAAAACAGAAAGTACAGATGATGTTATTTGGGGTACAAATATAAACAATACAGTACCATTTGAGTAACTGAGCAACATAATACCCATACTTTATAGAAATAAAACTGCAAACCTGGAGAATGCTCTGACAAATATTAAACATTATATACACAATGAGGTAAATGTACCTTGGTCTCTTGAGAGGTAATTTAAGTTTAAAGCAATTGACATTTTGAAGCATCTCCTTGACATATGAAGAAACATCAAACACCCCATTCCGCTGGCACGTGAAAAAGGGATATCAAAACATGGTTCATGATATTCAGTTCACAAACCTTTTTAAAAAATAAAAACAAATTCACTGAAGTTCCTTTTAAGTTGTAAGAAACAGGTTGAATGTTATTAACCATATTTTTAAAAGTTTACATTTACAAACAAGATTGCATAACGGGATTTAAAAGTTTAATGTACTGACAATCATCATAATATCATAATGTCCTAGAAGTCCAGCATTCTTAAGAGAGAGGGCCCATGGGTATTCCAGTAATCCAAAACAGAGACAAGAAGCTGCAGTACATGTCCAGAGATAATCCTTAGTATCTCAAAGTATCTGAGTTGGCATTTTCTGCCGAAGTATTAACAGAACCATTACTTGGAATCACTACCATTTGGAGCCAGAACACTGCCATGGTCAAGAAACAAACAGTTGACTTACGATTCTTCCAGTGCAAGAATAAAAATAAGCTTTGGATGACGTGTCTAATGGGATAGTGATTTTGTTGTGCACTTTAATGATCTCTTTGCCATCTTGTTTTACGAAACAGCCTATATCTGATAGTTCTCAGACACAGAAAAAAAAAGGTAACTCAAGCACGGACTACAAAATCGCCAAGTGATCACTTACATTTTGTAATAATAAGTGAAATCTGGGATTCTTGATGGCCATGGCACTGTACAGCAACTCAAGGCACTTCTTGAGCACTATCATTATTACAGCAGAATTACAGGCTCAGCTCTTCAGACCTTACCCTGTCTTATAGGGGATACAATTGGCCACTGTTTCTGGCACAACTCCCACTGCAGCAGCCACCTTACTGCCATCCCACTCCTCATCCATGGCTAAAGTCAAAGCAGGGGCATCCGAAGCCTCATCTGCTCAATCTCCAAACTTAGAGATCCCTCCCTGCTACCTCTAATGACTAAAGGAAATGGAAATATGCCCCACAACTTCCATCAGCCATTTTACTCTAGGTCTCCAAAGCTGCTCTTCAGTCAAAAGGCTGTGGGGGAGGCAATGGTCTCTGTGTCAGGGACCAGCAAGCCGGAGAGCAGGTTGCAAGAAACAGCTGGAGACAGAAAGGATGGACCAGGGATGTCTATGCCCCACTAATTCATATTTCCCCCATCCCCATTCCCATTCCTCCTGGCTATTGACAAAATGAACGTGGACACACAATTTACCAGAAGATGTTTTAGCCAAGTTGAATCTTGGAAGGTGAGCATCCTAGGATGGGCAGTATAAGCGACTGTGTTTTTAAATGACAAAATTATTACTCTAATCAAATTTATCTGCAGTTATCGACAGTAATCATGATCCATCCCACCTTTTAAGTTACCTTCATTTTCAATATTAGCCAATTGTGATTTATCAAACCATCCCTAGCCAAAAAAGGAATTAACTGCAATAATATGTAAAGTCAATTTAGAACTAAACTCCAACTTTAAAAAAATTCCCTGATTCATCAAAAGTACATTTTATCCACTTAGGTTAAGAAAAGTATAATTGTAACTCAATCTTTGATTCAGTAAAAAATATCTTCAGCAAAAGTGGATAACCTTACATGAAAGTGAGAAATCATGTATTACAACTTTAAATCAGACAACTTTTGGTATATTCTTAAAATTATATAAAAATAGTTTTAGTGATAAAATGCATTGGTCCCCTGGATTTCATAAAGCAGATCTGGTAGGCTTAGAAATGGCCCCCCTCCCCCCAAAAAAAAACCCACAAAAAAAGTACCTGATCACAGAATTAGAGATTATTATTAAACAAGTAATATAACACAATTATAAAAACAAACCTCTCAAACTCATTCATTTGCTTCAATGAAATATGGTAACTACAGAAAAAACTCAACTTTGTAGTCAAAATAGTAATCTCTAAGCATTTTTCCCATGTTTTTAAACACATGAAATTGATACTAAATTCCTATGTAATATGTCACTCATTCTAAAATTACTTTGGTTTTAAGACCAAATAGTCTTTCAAATTTATTCTACGTATAAGAGATAAGACATTATCAGAATGCAACTCATTCAGTGTAAATGGCCACTTTCTCTTCCTGACCAAAATACTGTATCGGTTATTCTGACCCTGTATTGGGGAACTGATAGCACTATAAAGTCGAAGTCTTGCCTCACAGGTATGATAGTTTTTCCTCCCCTCAGAATAAGATCACAGTGATAAAAGGACTTCGAAAACTGTAAAAGCTCTGCAGAGACTTCACAGCATTAGAATTAAAAACCAGTTATTATAAGCTAGTTTCAACTTAATGTGAGAAGACCATGACAAGTTTGCTTTCAATATTTGACCAAAAACATCTGTAAATGGAGAAGAACCTACACTCAGAATGTTCTTTAGCTACCACCTCTCCCAAATATCAAGGGTGCACTGAATGCATTACATAAATTACATGTAAAGTAAGCAGTTGCAATGTACGCACACATAAGGAAACACTGAATTAAAAGCTGCCTTCCTCAAAATGTAGTGAGACCTCAAAACCACACTAGCTCTAACCTCAGTTACAAAGACAGAGGATCCACCGAACGTTTACTCCTACATACATAACAAATGTGACTCTCTTGCACATCTGTTACCTATTCAAATTATTAACTACCTTCGCCTTCCTAGAAAAAGGCCTATTATTTAACATTAACCATATTCTAATTTTAAATGTAATTCATTTCTTAAAAAAATAACACTGTCTTTGAACAGATAAAGAAAAAAATGGCTTACAGAATACCACATAACTTTTCACAAGCAGCTAGACAAACTTTCCCTTTTAGAAAAATTAGTCTGTATGCTACAAATATTAAAGTACTGTAAGTATCTAGAGTGCCACTTGATTTTTTAAAAGTATACTTAGACAACACAATTAAAATGCAAAAGCTTGATGTGAGCATATTCAAACATGACCATGCTAACAATTTACTAATTAATGCCACTTCATTTCTTTAGTGGCTTAAGCACATTTTGGTAGGAGAAAGGCATTTTCAAAACAGAATACCAAATGACATATCACAAAAACCCTTCCAAAAAACAAAATAGAGAAAGTTTGGGTTACCAGATAAATAAGCTTTTTGAATTCAAACACTATAGGTTTTTAACATAGAGACTTTCAGCAATTCTACTCATTTCCATTAGAAAGACACAGAAGTGGCACTTACTGGTATAGTACAATCCCATTTTGAAGGCATGTAATGTTCTGAATAAGTGAAAGAACAATAATAGTATACAAAATACCACTGCATAAATTATGTTCCTCACTACTATATGAGGTCATTTTTAGACTCAAGATAAGAGTTTTATAAGTGTTAGTTTTAAGATCCTGAAAAACTATAGAACAGTACATTCAAAGTCTGAATCAAGGAAACACTAGTGGTTCAGAATCCTCTGAGAATGTACTAACCAGGAGCAAATCACTTTCTTTAATAATAAGAAATGTTTCATTATAACTCAGCAATCCAACTCCTTTGCCCTTAAAGATGATCTCCAGCACAGCAGAGTTACCTAAAGTTAAGACCAGCAATCATCTTTTTAAAAAACAAGTTTTGTTAATAAAAAATAAAGGTAGACTACACAACATTTTGTAACTGTCCTGGGAAAGAAGCGTTCATAGTGCACAGAAAGGACCCACACGGCTGTTTCCTGGGTCCGAAGAAATCCTGGGAAGTTTTTAATTGACTTTATTACACTGCTGCAAAAGGAAGCAACATCCTTCTGTTCCCTCTCAGTGAGGTAGAACAATTGACCTCCCAAATTAAAACCCAGGAGCAGATCTGAAGAAAAAAGTAGAGTTCAGGCAAAGTCGTAGAATTACATTTTGATGCCTTCCTGTTGACTGAGTTGTGATAATGTTTTCTTAATCCGCAATGCTGTAAGCCTAGCTGCTCCGTTGGCATACCAACATTCTCTCATAATTTTAGCCATTACTCTCAAGGCCTACAAGAAAATATAATTAAAAAAAAAAATTAATGCATGCACCATTTTCCATTGGTCTGGATAAGAATTTTTACCTGTAAATTTTCTTTTTAAATGACATATACACTTTGTTGTTGTTGTTAAGCATTGTTTGTAATAGCAAATGAGTAGAAATTTCACAAATTTCCATCAATAGGGTACTGGTGTCAGTGCTGGAAAGCAGGTAGACAAAGAGTAACTCACTTAGCAAACCTGAAGAGGTCGAATCCTAAACCAGAGCTGGGCAAAGCAAAGAAGAAATCTGACCTCACACTGAAATTTTAAGTTTGTACTTTGAAGTATCCAGATCAAATTTTTCTTTTTTTTTTTTTTGACACAGGGTCTCACTCTGCGGCCCAAAGTGGAATGCAATGGCATGCCCTCAGCTCACTACAGCCTCGACCTCCCAGGCTCCAACAATCCTCCCACCTCAGCCTCCGGAGTAGATCAAATTTCTAAAAGACAAAATCTAGCAGCACTCTCATTTGTTAAAGTATGTCACATGCAAATTCCTTGAGCATGCTGAAATACATTTTATTTGGGCCTGTAGATGTGATTTTGTTGGAGGTAGCAAGCTCTCTTGGTTATCAGAGGTTCTGATGAGTCCTATAATAGTTTAAGATGTAAAACCAACTACTGAACTGAACAGCTTTTTATAGCCTTTTTAAGCTACAAACCTTCAAACCCGGAGGAATATGCCCTGCTTCACCAATACTATAATAGTAACAGCTAGCAACTAAGGAGAGGTTAAATAAAATTCATCTTACGAATCTTTAAATTTACAATTACAAAAACATTTCTAAAACTTTTTGTTAGAGCTGAGGTTGAGAAGCTCAGACACTGCTGGAAAAAAAGCATTTTCCCTAAATTCCTGGTTAATGGTCATCTGGGCAATCAGATGAATAAAATGGAAAATCACTTGAAACAACTTTGTAATCACCTTATCTGAGTTCCTCACCTTACAAAGGGATATTAAGGTTCAGAGAACTAAAGTGATTTGTTCCAAGTCAGACCCTTGAAATGGTAGTCAGGCTGGTCTAGAATACAGGTCTCCTCATTCCTGTCCAGCAACTGTCTATTATTCTGGGTTGCCCTGGCTGAAGGGAGGCATTCACTTAAAAAGTATGTGCTTTAGTTCGCCTGACAGACCTAAACTATGTTCTGATACACTAAAGGCCACTGCAAATGTTCCACGGCCCTTTCAATGTGCTTACAACTGAATATGAAAACCAAATTATTCTGTTTTTACACATTGGTTTGACTGCTATGAAAAAGAAACTTCTTAAAGAAAAGTTTTCCTTAAAGAAAAGCAGCAAACTTTTGCTTACTAAGCAGAAGTTTAGAAAATTGCCTAATATCAAAAAGAAATACTCACTTCGCAGCTCTGCCATCTGTTTGGGATATTTGGCCTTAACTTCTGTTCACAAACAACTTTTCTCATTTCTTCCACTGATGGGTCAGAAGGTACAAGATCATAATAAGGCAGCTGGTAATCTTCATGAATTCCTGTATCAGTTTAAAAAAAAATAATTTTGATAAATGTATTCAGCGAATGCCAAGGCATTAAAAAGGTCACCTGAGAGGCCTATTACAGTGTCTTATTACTAAAGTAGGTAGGTGGAACAGAGATTACAGCTTTCTCTATCTCATCCAAATCTGTATCAACAAGTCACTTCCCTGAGTTGATATTCTGCCCACACCTTGAAACTATTGCCAAGAGATCAATAAAGCCTATTTGAAATGACAGTAAACTGTGAGCTGTGACCACCAGACTGACATTTTCCCCTAGAACCCTATTGTGCAGCAAATGAGATTCTATTCTGTAAGTGCACAGGCTCTCACTTGTACAGGGATATACAGATCCTATCAGTGAGACACAAATCCTATGAGGCAAGTTTAAGGTGCAAGTCCCTTTCTCTACTTGCATCTGTCAATAATATATCCTATTTACTACAATACAGAGAAATACTCTGTCCCTCACTGCTTCAAACACCTAAGGCACTAAGGTCTCAGCCAAGCCTAGGTCCCCAAGCCTAAGAGACTGTTTCCTGAGTAAACATTTTAAGTACTCCATCTAAAACGCTAGAAGTTAAGACAAACTAACTCTAGAAAACAACACAATGGTAACATAATTGTATTCTGTGTACGTAATCTATAACTATCAAGTTGGAGAAAATATGCCAAAGAGAAAATATGCCAAAGAAAAAAAATAAATTTGACACCTAGGTACATGCTAGAAACAGCTTCCTAGGTGAGCCTCTCAAGCAGCTGTCCATTCTAAAGAACTATATTCCAGTATAACAAGGGTTTGGGTTCTGATGAGTCTCAAGATTCAAATGGAAACAGGAAGAGAATACACTAGGCTAGAGCTGTGCATGTGCACACCATGGCACTGTCCCCTCCCAAAGGTTTCATCGCCTTTGTTTTCTCTGGCACTCGGTGATGTCCTGTTTCAGATAATGGATTGTGCATAATTTCATTCAATAAAAAAAGAAGACAATTCTCGAACAACTTCTTCTGCTCATGACAAACTGTTGGGGGAGAGGGGAGCAATTTACCACCAATGGAACATCGTCGAGCAATTTCCCAGAATACTAAGCCCATTGCATAGATGTCAGCACGTTTGAAGGATTCAAAATGTTTCATATTTATGGAATCATCAAGAACTTCAGGGGCCATGTACCTAAAAAAAATTTGCAAAAATAACTTTGAAAATCATCCCCTTACTGCCACATTTTGATGAACATCCTTTCAGACATTTCTCTGTACACAGACATATGCACAAAATATTACATAACAAATATTAGACTCAAGAAAAATATTAAATATCCACACTGGTTTGCACATTAATGATGTCAACTAAATCCCACAAAACGCTAAAATAGCAGTTTCACGCTATCTGCCTCATGATCTTGGTTTCCAGTGAAAGACATATGCAACTATTGTGACTGTTAAAGGTGTCCCAATGTACACCACCTATACATGTACTAGGTAGAAACCATGCATTTTAATCTAGAAGTCTTCTCACTGAGGATGAAAGGAAGGGCAGGAATATACTCTAAGGGAAAAAATAATAGACACAGAAGAATGCCAGTCCTCATACTGAAGCTTCAAAAACCTATGAAAATTATGGGTCAAGACCCACAGAGACCTGCAGCAACCACTGTCAAGGACTCCTTAGCTGGCTGAGAGTGCAGAGTCCCCAGGGAATCCAGAAATCTCAAAATTATACATAAAATTTGAATAGACTAATGCTGCTGGCTCTCCAGCTCTCTCCAAGGCCAAGGAAGTAGTTTGAAGAAATGCTGTGACAGCAAGTGATAAGGGCTTTGGGTCAGAAATGCCCAGGTTCAAATCTCAGCTCTTCGGCTTATCATCCACATGAAGCTGACCATATTATTTAACCTCCTCAAGGTGGTTTCCTCGTCTGTGAATTAAGGGTAACAACACCTACCTAATTAAGTTCTTTTGAAGACCCATGGACTCAACAAATATCTACTGAGGATCTACCATGTATTAGGCACTGTGATGGATGCTGGGAATACAAGGCTGCTCTCAAGCAGCTTGCACCTAATAGAATATACAGGCAAATAAATAAACAGTTACTACATAATGCGTAAGTGCCTCAACGGTCCCAGTTTAGTGTGCTATGACAGCCCCTGGCAGGGACTCCTAAGAATCTTGAGAACTAGAAAAAACTTCCTACAGGAAAGGTGGGTACGAGGCTGAGAAACAGTAAGGTAAAATACGCTCCAGGAGACAGCATGTGCAAAAGTTCTAAGAAAGCAAGAAAGGCATATTTTCAGGAACTGAAATATGAAAATAGCAGGGCTAGCTATAGCACAGTATTTGAGAAGGGATTAAATGAGGTAATACAAGTAAAAGACCTATCAGACGATTGGCACATAGTAGGTGCTCTATAAATGTTAGTTACTACTGTAATTATAATTAACATGCCTACTGATATTTTCTGGAAGGGCAACCTTTCATCAGCAGGCATCTTTTTAAGTCAGGTAACTTTGGCTTCAGAGCAGGCAAGACCATGAGATCTTCTTGCCTGTTGGCAATCTAATAAAGTACAAGTTTAAGCTGAGTTTCAGCAATGGTATGTATATATGAAAGAGAAGGGAAAAAAGGTGATTTCAGAAGATATTAAAAATAGTTGTTCAAAAGTATACCTTTTTGTTCCCACTCTGTGGTTTGGAGCAATATCAATGGTATCTGTGGCTGAATCGTGTCTTACTGCCAGTCCTAAGTCTGCAATACAGCAAGTTCCATTCTTCTTTACCAAGATATTCTTTGATTTCAAATCTCTGTGAGCAATGGCTGGCTTTCCTAAAGAATCAAAAATTAAACATGACTGCTTAAAACGTAATACCAATCACAACTCACACCTTTAGGTTCAAAAATCTCTTCTCCTGACCCAAATTATCAAAGCATTTCAGCCCACATGACCTACAATACCTATGGCATTATTAAACTCAAGTGAATCACTACATCAAAAATCGCTGAAATTGTATTCCTTTAAGGAAAATGTGGACAATAACATGCTTTAAAAGATGAACAACTCAAAGACTGGGGCAAAAAAAGTTATCGGTTTATCTGTTGGTGCCTCAAGAATTCTTTTTAAGAAACTTAGCCATAGACTGATATTCCAGCAGCCCAGGAACCAAGCATGTAGATCATCACTTCCCTATCAACTGGAATGTACTCAGTATTAAGTGTATTACCTTTGAGACTAACCACTAGAAAATGCGCTATTAAAAAATAATAATTATAATGTGGAAAACTTGGAACCTTCATATACACTGCTGGCAGGAATGTAAAATGGTTCAGGCACTTTAAGAAAACAGTACGATAGTTCTTCAAACCATTAAATAGAGTTATCATATGATACAGTAGTTCAACTCCTAGGTATATACCCAAGATAACTGAAAACATGAAACTACATAAAAGTACACAAATGTTCGTTGCAGCATTAGCTACAATGGCCAAAAGAAGAAACAAACCAAATGTCCATCAACGAATGGATACATGACAAGTGGTATATCCATACACTGGAGTATTACTCAGCCATCAAAATGACTGAAGTGCTCATATATGCTACAACATAAATGAACCTTGAAAACATGCTAAGTGAAAGAAGCCAGTCACAAAAGACCACATATTGTATGATTCATTTATATAAAATGTGCAGAATAAGCAAATCTATAGACAAAAAGGAGCAGATGTTGCCTAGGGCTAAGGAGTTTGGGGGGAAAGGGGAGTGACTGCTAGTGGCTACGGGGTTTCTCTTTGGAGTGAAGATATTCTAAAATTGACTGTAGTGTTTGTTGGTTATACAACTCTGAGCATTCTAAAAACCACTGAATTTTATACTTTAAGTGGGTGAATTGTATGATGTGAATTATAACTCAATAAAACTGCTACAATCAATAATAATAATAATTACAAAGATGGAGCTGGCTAATATGTGAACTAGCACTTATGCTGTATGTAAAGTGGGGAGTGGGGAAGCCACTGGGTTGCAAGTGGACAACTGCTAGAGTAGAGAGTTATGCTGGCATCTGAAATCCTACATGGCACAAAAACTATAGCATACAAATGTCATAACTAAAACTTAGTATTTAATTTTTCAACTGTAAAACTATCTCATGCAGTCTCCTTATCTCAAGGTCAAATATAATCATTAGATGGCCAGATAATAGTTACATAGCATGCTGATGTTTACAAAGCACTTTCACATTTCATTTTATACTACATATAAAAATATATTCACTTGGACTTGAATTCTGAAACTGAGACCCTCAAAAATCGTAAGATTGAATGCTACTTTTAAGAACTCAAAAAAAAAATCACAGTTTTGTTAAAATGACAAGAGAATCTCTAAACAAATTTCCAGATTCCTAGCTCTACCTGAAATTTCGAACTGAAAGATAAAATGTTCTCATCTAAAAAATTTGTTTTAAATATCTCCAGTTAGGCCACCTACTGTTTCCTTTTTTTTTTTTTTTTTTTCTTTTTCTGAGACAGAGTCTCACCCAGGTTGGAGCGCAGTGGCATGATGTCTGCTCACTGCAGCTTCGACCTCCCAGGCTCAGGTTATCTTCCTACCTCAGTCCCCTGAGGAGCTGGGACTACAGGTGCATGCCACCATGCCCAACTCATTTTTTGTATGTTGGTAGAGATGGGGTTTTGTCATGTTGCCCAGACTGGCTATGAACTGAGATCAGGCGATCTGCCCACCTCAGCCTCCCAAAGTGCTGGGATTATAGGCATGAGCCACCAGGCCCGGCCTCCACTTTCTATTTGCATAGACATTATTCATGGAAATTTAAAGCTTAAATAATAGAACTGCTTATAGGATTACCTTGAGTACCAACAATCTCCATGTGAAGATGGGCAAGACCGCTCGCTGTGGACAGAGCAAGTTTTATCATTCCTTCCACAGTAACTGTGTATCTGTTTAAGTAATCAAAAAGGGATCCATGCTCATGATAATCTGACACCAACCAGAGCTGAGTCCAAGTGCCATTGTCTGTAAAACAGAATTAACATTTCGGTTGGGCTATAGACCATTTATGATTTATATGTTCAAAGGTTATCACTTTTTACTCTCAATCCTGAGTCACACACTGCAATATAATGCCACCTTAAGTCTGTATGTATTTCCTTCACATTTTCTTCTACATTCAGTTTGTTTTATACTTTTATGTACACATTCTTTAGTTCCTCAGAGTAAGCCCCTCTTCTTGAGATAAGGCAAGGATAATTAATCCCTTTTTTTCTATGCCTTTCTAGTGCCTAGAAAAATCTCTGGGTCGGGATGGGTGCTCAGTGGCTGTTCCTGGAAGGAGAGAAGTTTAAAAAAAAGGAGGGGAACACAGAGGGAAGGAAGGAGGTGAGAAGTCTCCGGAGCCCAGTGTGGCCACAGTGGGAATGGAAGAGTATGGGACAAAACTGGAAGTGAGTTTCAATGAGAAATGACAAGCTTTAGTGACAGATTGTGTACACAGTTCACAAAGACGCAAGACAAGATGATTACGATTCCAAGGTTGCTAGCTTAGAAAAACAGAGATAGTGATACCTCTAACACATGGGGAAGCTGAAATAGGAACTGAAATGTCAGGAGAAAAGCTGGAAAAGCTGGGACTAAACTCAAACAACTAGGAATGTGGGTTCCAAAACTTCCTCTGTAAGCCAATACACGAGTTTAAAACACGTTTTCTCATAGGAATAATGGTAAAGATACTAGCTAGGCTCCTAGGCTAGACTGGTCCACGACAGTCTAATTTAACCTAGAAGCAGCTGGAAAAACCACATATTTAATTAAGCCATGAACAAAAAAAAAGCATTACAACATTAGGAGACAGTACAATCTAGTAAAAGATGCACGCTTAAGAGTCATTCTGACCTGGCTGGAATCCACAGCCTGCCTGTTACTGATACTTTCTTAGCCAAGGAGCCTCTGTTTCTCCTTTTATACAAGAATAACGTCTTACTTTGTAAGACTGTTAAGGTTTTAAAAAACAGAATACTAGATTCTTTAGGTAAGAAGTACATAAACTGCGCTCTTTCTCTCCCTGCTGGTTGTAAAACAAAAGAAAAAAATCCATATTGACAGTTTGAAACCGCTTCTATTTTGAAGGTATTTAGTTGAAGAAAACCAACTCTGATTAGAAGAGATTAAGAAAGGAATGGAAACTTTTCAGAAGATTCTGGAGGAGATTTCTGGGTACATTTAAAAGGACTTAGTATTAATTTGTTCTTCATGAACTTTATAAACTGATTCTGTCCAAACTCACACCCTGGCTTTTCCTTGATATAGGCACATCACTAGCTTATTTGCATGCCTCTTAACCGTTACTGAATTTTGAAAAGCTCACCAATACAAGAAACAAAGTGGAAGGCAGGCAGATGGAAGAAAGGGAAATCGCAGGTTACAGACAAGGCAGAAGGAAGGTTATATATAAGGGGCCATACATATAAAGGGCTGCCGGGGTGGAATTAACTAAATCAGAAGATAAAGGAACTGGGGTGGAGGGACTAGGCTCAGAGAAAGTACATTAACCGCTGACAAAGAAGAAAGAAGGGGAGTAGGGAAGAGCCAGTAAGGTTGGCTAGTTCCCATGGTGACCACCAGATGACAGCATCAGCTTGGTTAGAAGTTCAGGGCACAAACTCACCAACATTTTGTGCTGCTGTATTTGTAACTTGGAATGTGACAAAATCCAGACCCCGGTTCCCGGTTGAGGTTTAAGCTTTCAAATGGAGATTTGAGACTTGCCAACATGGTAGAGTTTGAAACCATGAATGTGGCTATGTTCTTAAGGAAGAAATTACCACTTACAGAATCAGTACCTTCATATGAACCAGTGAGAAGAGTAAGAGTTGAGAAAACAAAGACAACTATGAAGAAATAAAAGGAACAAAGAAAGTCTAGGGTCACCAAACATAGTAAATAAAGAAAAGGTTGTTTTAAGAGTTGGAGGAGGAAATAAATGGTGTTAGAGGCAGAAACGAAAATGAGAACTAAGGATTTGGTCAGACTGATTGCTATTTTTGTTTTTTGTTTTGTTTTCTGAGACGGAGTCTCTCTCTGTCGCCCAGGCTGGAGTGCAGTGGTGCGATCTCGGCTCACTGCAACCTCCACCTCCCGGGTTCAAGCGATTCTGTGCCTTAGCCTCCTCAGTAGCTGGTATTACAGGCACCTACCACCACGCCTGGCTAATTTTTTTGTATTTTTAGTAGAGATGGAGTTTCATCATCTTGGCCAGGCTGGTCTTGAACTCCTGACCTCGTGATCCACCTGCCTTGGCTTCCCAAAGTGCTGGGATTACAAGCGTGAGCCACTGTGCCCGGCCTGTTTTTTTTTTTTTTTAACTTAAAGGGTATTGCACTGTCAGGTGCCACTGATAATTGCTACCTACATCCATCATATACATCACTGCCACTGTCTTAATCAAACATTATACACCTCCACATATGATGCAACAGGATGTATATAATATCCTTAGTATGTATTTTGAGAAAACCAATAAAACTGCAATTAGGTTTAGCTTCTAAATCTAACTACCAGTTTTTACAAAAGATAGAAAAACAAGTTAAGAGACACTATGGAAATTCAATTAGCAAAATACAGAATATGATAGGCCTTTCAGGACAAACAATCCAATTTCTTCAACAAATAAACTGCAAGAGGAGAAAAAAGATGAAGGGGGAAACCTAAAGATTTTAAGACACATAAGAGAAATATCAACTAAATGCAATATGTGGACTTAGAATCATAATTTGAATAAATATTTTTTTTAATAGGAGACAATTATAGAATTTGAACCTAACTGGGTATTTGATAACATTTTAAAAATTGACAATGGTAGTGTAGTTGTTTCATAAAAACATTTCCTCATCATTTGAAGATACAAATTACATTTTATAAGCGTTTACGGATGAAAACATGTTGTCTGGGACTAGCTTCGAATTAACACAATTAGGGCAGAGTAGGTGGGATGAGACATCAATTATGATTGGCAGTGACCTGACAACTGTTGAAGCTGGACAATGAGGGATCACTGTAACTACTTTGCTTTTCTACATATTGGAAATGTTCTACAAATAAAAGTTAAAAAAAAAAAAAGCAGTATATGCTTGTAAATAAATTTGAAAACCCAGAGAAGCTAAAAGAAATATCATAAAAATCACCCATAATTACCTACTGAGGTTAAACACTGTTAACATTTGAATAAATAAATATTGCTGAAGTAAATGGAAGGTGAGAGAAGGAAAAAGATGACTACAGGTCTGGCCAAGCTAAGAGACAATGACAGCATTTTTTTTTTTTTAAACAGGAAAGCTTGGAAATATATTTGATTTAAGGGTAGGGATGATAAGAATGGAGCTGAAACACAAGTCTCTGACAGAGGCAGTAAAAATAGGAATCATGGGGGCTGGGTGTGGTGGCTCACACCTGTCATCCCAGCACTTTGGGAAGGTGAGGTGGGTGGATCACGAGGTCAAGAGATGGAGACCATCCTGGCCAACATGGTGAAACCTCATCTCTACTAAAAATACAAACATTAGCTGGGCATGATGGTGCGCACCTGTAGTCCCAGCTACTCCGGAGGCTGCGGCAGGATAACCACTTGAACCCAGGAGGCGGAGGCTGCAGTGAGCTGAGATTGCGCCACTGCACTCCAGCCTGGCTACAGAGCGAGACTCCATCTCAAAAAACAAAACAAAACAAAACAAAAAGTAGGAATCGTGGGCTAAGAAAGTGGCAGCAGCACAGTCTAAGGTCACTGCTTGCAGTCCTCACTCATTCTGACTCCCCACTGACAGGCTTCCTTCCTTCTTCAGCATCTGACCTGATGCTGCTCCTCAGGCAAAAGCATTACAGGCAAAAAAGCGTCCGCACGGTTACCAATGGCAGGGTGGTTGAAGAAACAATTTCTCTCTTTAATTGAGTTTGCCAAAAGATTCATCTATTTAGCCCTTGGCAACTCAGAACACCGACAAGTTATTTTTACTCTCCCCATAAATAAGTTCGATAGTCTATATTGAAACACTCTACTGGTCAGAAAGAGATTAAAAGGAAATGGCTATCTAAGCCCTATTCTCAAAATTTTGAGCAGGTTTATACATCTTTTCCATATCATGACTACTCTTAATAACTAACTGCCCTAAACTAAACCAACAAAGTATATGGCTTTTTAAAATAGCTCTTTTACATTTTATAAAACAATAAGAGATTTTAGGAATGTTATCAAGAGTCAAGAAAATCTTTAAGAAGTTCCTAGTTCTAAAAGTTACTAATATATTGTATTTGACTTAACGGGTCTAATCTACATGACAGACATCTATTTCTCATCTACTTTGATGATGGTTAGTCACCATATCTGAAAAGACTTCAAGAGATCTTGTTATATATAACATAAGGAAAAGCAAATGTTACAGACCTTTATTGTCTGCTGCTATAAATCCCAGGATGTTTTCATGACGTAACATCACAGTTTGATAAATCTCTGCCTCACGGAACCATGAACGTTCTTCTCTAGAAGAGAATATCTTAACAGCAACTTCTTCTCCCCGCCACTTTCCTCGCCACACTTCTCCAAATCGACCTTTGCCAATGCTTTCTTGTAACACAATAGTTCTCGCAATTGTTCTCTGAACAAGCAATGGTAAACCTAAAGGTAAAAATAAATAGTACTCAACACAATCAACAATATTACATGTTTCAAACATCATGATAGGCACTAACAAGTGACCCAGAAAGCTGACACTTTAAGCTATCCCTTTAGGAACTTATCTCACTGGGGAGATATGTATTTTATTTGCAATAAAATAACTAATTAAAAAAGGAAAGTAAGATAATAAATATAATAAAAGAATCCAGAAACTCCTGCTAGAGGGTCAAGGTAGGCTTTGTAAAAGTCAGTTGAATTTTGACTATCCCTTAAGTATGGTGGTTAGGCAGGAAGAATGTACAGGCAAAGGTAGAGGGAAATGAATGACACATGTTTAGTGAAGCAGCCTGGGCAATCAGAGAGAGGATGTATGTGGCAAAGCAGTGAAAGAGAAAGTAAGCTGTCACCAGATGATGAAGAGTACTGAATACCAAGCTCAAGATAACCAATGAGAGCTTTAGGTAAAAGAACCTCTAAATGATTTCTGAGAAAAAGGGCCATGGCTGGAAGCAAGATAATTTTAAAATCTTATTTTAGAAGGATGAAACTAGTAACTGTTTCACTGACGGGAGGAAAAAAAGGATGTGAACACAGAAACACAGAAGTAAATTCTGGCTTTTTAATAAACCAGTAAGAATCACCACAGAAGCTATTTCAATGAAAGCAATTTACTTGCTAACAACTGGCTACATAGGCAACACTAGTATCTTGAAGAACAAGGCTAAGTAACTTACCTTGGTAATGGAGCACTGTTTTTCCACTAATTGAACTTGGCTTTCTCCAAAATATGTATTTTTAAGTATTGTCATACTTATTTCATTTAAAAGGGTTTACTAACTTACCTGCAACATTTAAGTGTCACTATATGTGAGACAGTAACTTAATATCCTATCCCCCATCTGGTAAGTGTCATTTTAAATTACACTGACACTAACAAAGAAAATGCCAGTGTACATCATGTTCCTCACTAGTATCTTATTTATACAATCTATGTATACATAAATTGGTGTCATTTATAATCTATACTCAAAGCTACTTGCTAGATCAAATTAACCCAATGACAGTAAATGAAATTATCTGCTCTCTTTGGTTCCCTGATGTGAAATGCTTATAAATCCAAACGTTAAATCTTTAAAGCGATCAGCTCTTCTTCTTAAGTGTCTCAAATGGGTCCATTCTTCCTCTTGCTCTACCCTCCCCACCTCCTATAAAGTAGTTAGCAGTCTAACTATAAATAACTGTTTGTGTTTACAAGGAGGCTGCCAGTGAGAAACAGATCTGTCCGAAATCCTTATTTAAATCATAGAGCTCTTTCACACTATGAATAATCAATTCTAATTTTGTCGTTTAGTGTAGATACTAATTTATTACATTTTATGAAGCCTTGTAGAGGGCCACACCACAGACGTAAAAGTACATTTAAGAGTTAATTTCAGGAGACTAATCTGGAAATTGCAAAGGCAAGTAATAAAAAAGAAAAAGGAATCACAAACACGAATTCTGAAAACACCTGACAGGTTCAGGACTTGTGTAAATGGTATGGTCAAGAAAGGCCAACAGGACGAGGAAAGTTTTTGTCTTCCTCTTTATAACTGGATTCTAGATGTCAATTAAAATTAAAAAGCAAATCTTGATCCACTGTATTATCTATATTGGGTTACTTCACATGAATAGTTGAGCATTTTTAAAAAGTTAACAATTGGCCAGCACAGTGACTCACAACTCTAATCCCAGCACTTTGGGAGGCTAAGGTGGTTGGATCGCTAGAGGTCAGGAGTTTGAGACCAGCCTGGCCAACATGGTGAAACCTGGTCTCCACTAAATATACAAAAATTAGCTGGGTATGGTGGTACACGCCTGTAATCCCAGCTACTCAGGAGGCTGAGGCAGGAGAACTGCTTGAACCCGGGAGGTGAAGACTGCAGAGAGCTGAGATCACCCCCCGCTGCACTTCAGCCTGGGCAAGAGAGTGAGACTCCGTCTCAAAAACAAACAAACAAAAAAAGTAGCAATTTTCTTCTAAAGACAAAACGGAATAGGCCTAATTTAGATCTCTATATTCTCTGCTCTACTCTTCTGTACCTTTAGTACTGTTTGAGAGAAAACTTCAAAAGGGAAACAGGGACTCCACAGCTTCACATGCAGTGAACCGGAAATAAGACCTGAACAACATGCATATATTACAAGAGCTCGTAAGCTGCACAAGCTATAACGAACACTGGCCTAGAAGACTCACTATCAAAAGCTGGCACATATGCACATGTGCACATTCACACACTTGGGATACAGCTGCCAGAACCCAACTCTTCATTGTATTCCCTGAAGTACCCAAGTTAAAAGCACTGTCTTTAGAGGTAGAGATAGGGCCTTTCCTTAATTATGGTCACGGTACTGAGTAATGAACACATGAATTCAGAATGTGAAACGCTTATACCTTTTCCTCAATTAACAAAAGAACTAAAACCAAGTATTATAAACACACAGTTTACTTACTCACAGGCACTACTCTCATGCCTAAGGTGGCATTAAGGATTTATAATGAATAGAAGGGAAACAGATGGCATTTTCTGCTATTATTCACCAGAAGATGGCTTCTGCCTAGATAGGTTTGTAGAGAATTCAGTACACAATGAACTATGACAGGTAAAGGAGGCCTTAAACTAAGTTTTGTACAATGTAGTCAACTGATAATGTATGTTAGATTTTTCTTCCAAGTATGTTTTCAATAAGAGCAACACTTGTCATTTGGACATAACTTCACAATTTACCAAGCGCTTTCATGCCAACATTTTGTCTTGCTTGAACTCACAACAACCCAATGATGTGCACAAAGCAGACTCCATCACTTTCATTTTAAAGATGAAATAACTCAAGCATGAGACATTGGTTAACTGCCCAAAGCTACAGAGCTAGCAAGCAATGCAGACAAGTTTTTGCAGGGTAAGTCATAAAAAGAGGGAGAGAAGCTTTCAGAGAACAGAGAGCTATGGTCCCTCATGGATCTAGAAATATATATATATATATAATGGAAACAGAATTATTCTGTTCTTTTTCATGTTTATCTCTTAAAAGGTTAATGAAGATATTCTTATTCAGTAATCAACTATCACCCACCCACCAATTCCTTTAATCAATTAGGTGGGCTTATTCCACTGTGGCAAGTGGCATGAGCTGCTCTCTTTCCGGAGTGTAAGTTTAGAAACAAGACAACAGGTCTGAGGCATTAATTCCAAATGATCTGAAGCCATCCTGATTTTCTGTGACTCTGGTCCTTGATTATCACAGTCTTGAGCAGGATTACTTCTAGAATGAACAAAATCTTTTTGAAGATCTGAACTGAGAATAAATGGGAAGTCCCAGGAAAGCTCTAAAATAACCTCCGTCCACCACTCCTGCCCAAAGACTATCACACCTTCAGTACTAAGATGGCTCCATCTAAGTCCGAACTCTCATTGTCTTCCTTACACAACTGTTTCAGGAATCCCTAAGCTTGCCTTCTGATCTGAGCTCCAGTGCAAGCCTGTATGTGTCCTAGTAGTCAAAGAGAGAGTTCTCTTATTGAATACATACGGCCAAATTCTACAGAAGAATAATTCAGGTAATAAAATCAGTTTCTTCATTCTTAAATGAATAGATATGCATACATAACAATATATATTCATTTCCTTAAAATAAATAGACATTTGTCATTATATGAGCTTTCTGCAACATTAGATGTGATTTTATGCTCAATTTCTGCTTTAATATTCCTTTAATATCACTCAGTTATAAAATTAGTGAATTTTTTTTTTGAGATGGAGTCTCACTCTATTGCCCAGGCTGGAGTGCAGTGGCACGATCTCAGCTAATTGCAACCTCCACCTCCCAGGTTCAGGCGAGTCTCCTGCCTCAGCCTCCCGAGTAGCTGGGACTACAGGCGCATGCCACTATGCCCGGCTAATTTTTTTGTATTCTTAGTAGAGATGGGGTTTCACCAAAATTAGTGAAATTTTCACTATATACGCTTTCCAAATTTTCACTTTATTCATGAATTTAGCCCTTATTTAAAGACGACTCATACTTTTCAAAGGATAGTATATCTCATTTAAAAGTCTTAACAAACCACTTGAAGTGTTTTTATCAGCAGTATGGGTTCCATATTTTTGATGAGGAAACAGAAGCCCAAAGAGGAAACATGTTTTAACCAAGGTTATACAGCCAATCAGCAACAAAACTTGCCTTGGAACCTAGATCTATTTATCCTTAGCCAAGTGTCAAATTCTAAAAACACAGGGGATAGGAGTGTTCCTCTCTTAATACTTTTCCAAACCATATACAAAAAAAAGTAGAAGATAACGCCCCTTCAGTTTAAACATGAAGCACTGCTATGCCAAAATCCACCTTGGGATGACTCTGACAATTAGCTCATCTACTTCTGATGCCACAAATATCAACAAATAGAACTGGGAAAAGCAAATCTCATTAGGGGCCAAAACTACATTAAATAAGAAGGTGATTAGACATTTTTCTGAAGTGAGAAAATGACGTAAGAGTTCATTAGTTTAATTTTAAAAAACTAGGCCTATACAAAAGACAATTTCATATAATGTTTAAAAAGCAAATAACCTTCACAATTCTGAATAAATTTTTATCATGCCTGTTTTCAAATATAAACATCAGGCTGCTAAACAATCCTGAATAGAACGGGTTAGTTGCAGATCATTTGAACATCTTTGAACTTCGGTTTCATCCATATGAGAATAATTGTTCTTATCCTTTCTACCTCACAGTGATGAAAAGCAAATTAGATCATACAAGTGAGAACGCTTTGAAATTTATACCACCATGGAGCTGACTGACTTGCTTTATCAGTTAAAGTAAGTTCCAATCTATTTTAAACCAGCCACAGTCATATACACATCAAGCTTAAAGATTTTTATTAGTTTCAAACCTGGAATATTATTTATATTATCTCACATTCTAACAAGTTGGCTTATTAGCAAACTAATAAAATAAGTATCACTTAATTTTAAAAAGACGTCTTAGGAAAAAGGAGAAACAATTACATTACCTGAGCCAGAACCTGATGTTGTCATATCATAAATTAAGTCTTTCAACGTAGTACCCTCTGAAATAAAAGGACGATCTAATGAAGGGTCCTCTTCATTTGGCACTCGATGGTGAATGACAGTGCGGTTGTGGCAGATATACACCATCAACATGAGTGAGATGCAGACAAAGCACACTGGTCCAGCAATGACAGCTGCCAGTTCCACGGGACCAAGGCCAGGTGATGACTTTACTGAAAAAGGGCCTTGAGTGAAATAAACATCAACAACAACAAAAACACTGTAGGTGGCAACCCCCATTTTCCTAATCCTACACAATTGCTGCAGCTGGCCACTGCCACCACATAGCCAAAGAGCCTCATTACAGCAGTTTATAGGGCTCAAACCCAGAACAAGTGAATCATTCAGTCTTCTCCTACTAGGCCTCCTTTCATGCACACCAGCTCTGTCAGCACCCACTTACTCCTTCTGTACTCTTCAGCCATCATTACAAGGCCAGCTGCTACCAATATCATAGTACCTTCCCCACTTATCACATCAGGTCAGTAATACCAATAACCTGTAACAATACCCATTAACGTCTCCTTAAAAATCATATATATTTTTAAAAGTGTGTTTGACTTGTCTTCTTGTTCCAAGGCCAGTACATGCTCATAGCAGGAAAAACAAACAAAAATATCAAAACAAACAAACAAACACACACATACATCTTCATCACTCCCAAACAACTCACATTTTAGTATTTATATCTCCACCAATTTTTTTTTTTTTTTTTTTGAGACAGAGTTTCACTCTTGTTGCCCAGGTTGGAGTATAGTGGTATGATGTTGGCTCACTGCAACCTCCGCCTCCCGGGTTCAAGCAGTTCTCCTGCCTGAGCCTCTCAGGTAGCTGGGATTACAGGCATGTGCCACCATACCTGGTTAATTTTTGTATCTTAGTAGAGACAGGTTTCACCATGTTGCTCAAGGCTAGTCTCGAACTCCTGACCTCAAGTGATTCACTCACTTTGGCTTCCCAAAGTGCTGGGATTACAGGCATGAGCCGTGCCCAGCCAATAGCTCCACCAATTTTTTAAAGGCAGAACATATCTTTTTTTTTTTTTTTTTTTAACAGAGTTTGCATACTTTTTATTCTATCTTAACCTGAACTTTTAAGTCCAGATCATTTTCTTGTAACTTCCATTAATAATTAAAATTTTCTGGTTGTTTCAGAAAATTACAATTATTCTGACATTCATCCTGAGCCTTGCTGGTTTACTACTTACCACCATTTCTTTCATACCACATCTTTCCCATTCTTGAGATCTTCAGTAGATTAATCTCTTATCATACAGAGTCCTATTTCTAGTAATTTCCTTCAGGAACAGTCCATGCGTCCTTGTACACTGAACTTGTGGCAAGAAGGCTGTTGCCTTTGTATATGAAAAATCTTGGCCTATTTAAAGAATTTTAGGTGACTACAAAAATGTTCCATTTGCCCTCTGATATTTAAGCAGAAAATCTGAACTTTTTTTTTTTTTTTGCCTTTTATAGGTAACCAATGTTTATGTGTGTTAAATGCTTATATAATTCTTTTATTTTTGAAACTGATACTTTTTATTACATGTGTTTGGATTAATATTTTTTCATTAATTTTGCCTGGTATTCTGTCTTCTTTCTAGTCTCATGCCTTTTTCTGGAATTCTGATAATAAGCATATTGGATCATCTAAATCTGTTCCCTATATCTCTTAATATGCTCACCAACTGTCTTTTCTCTGAATTGTAACACAATTTCTTAAGCTTGTCCCAAACTTGACTATAAAATTATGGCATCCAGTCTGTTGTTCGCTCTCAATAGTGCATTTTTAAAAACATTCATCAGTTGGGCTTTTCTTCTGAAAGCAACCTTTAACAACCGTGAAATGTTCTCATTTCATAGTGAATAACTGAAAATAGACCCTGGACTGTTTGAAAGTTCCTCCCTATCATGTGGTAAACCTATTTCATAGGATGACATCTAATCTATCTAGTTCAGACTACTTCTTTTGAGCTCCTAACTCTTCACTGGTAATGTTTTGCTGTTTGCTTATCTTAGAGCTGGAAATGAGAAGTTTATATATGGTAATTAGAAACATGAGAAATGAGGTGACTTCTTCACAAGGTTTTATAAATCTCTATTCAGATATTTCAAGCTCAAATGATGGAAATGGGAAATTCTGGAATTATCCTTTTCTTTGTCACATTATAACTGCAGATGCTTTCATCAAAGTCAAAGACATAGTAGTCTAACCAACCCTTACCACGGGAGAGCTGCATTATCATGCTGAACAGGTGGAGGACTGGCCTTTTCCTTCTGCGCTACAGCAGTGCTTCCTCCTTTAATTAGCACAAGGCCTGGACCAACTCTGAGTGGAAAGTGAGCAACTGTGTCTGCTCCTCTGAGCACTGAAGCCAGGTGCTTCCTAAAAGGGAACTGAGAGTTCGCCCCGTACCCTCACTCACCCCCAATCCCTCGTCTAAGTTATTGGTCGGACTTTTCAATGACTAACCTTTCTTATTAGTTATTGATCCTATTCTTTACCAGTCTGGTGTCATCTGTACTGTAAATTGCAGAACTGCAGAAGTTCCTCACAAGTGTTGGCATGTGGGTGGCATTCTACCATTAATTCCACTAGTATTAACATAGGTTGCCCTCATTTTTATATTCCTTTGGGATCTGGGGAAAGAGGTAAGAGTTAAATACATGTGCTCAGACTTCCATATTAAACCGGAATCTTAAAATTAAAAAGTTTATTAAGCCTTCAAACTACTGGTTCTGCCAGGAAATTTTATTTATTTACTTATTTAATTATCTTTTTTTTTTTTTTGAGACAGAGCCTCACTCTGTCACCCAGGCTGGAGTGCAGTGGCACAATCTCGGCTCACTGCAACCTCTGCCTCCCAGGTTCAAAGATTCTTGTGCCTCAGCCGCCCAAGTAGCTGGGATTACAAGCATGTGCCACCATGCCCAGCTAATTTTTGTGATTTTAGTAGAGATAGGGTTTCGCCAGGTTGCCCAGGCTGGTCTCAAACTTCTGGCCTCAAGTGATCTGCCCACCTTAGGCTTTCCAAAGTGCTGGGATTACAGGCATGAGTCACCAGCCCCGGGAAATTTTAAATGTAAACTACAGGTGAAGGACCAAAATTCTAGAAATCATGTATAATTAATTTATGCATAAAGATAATAAAACAAGCTGAGATTACAAAATGAAAACATCTAGACTACTTAGTGCTGCTCTGAATTACCACTCATTAAGACTGTTGACTGCTGTAAAAGATAGGAGCATTATATAAGGAAGAAGAAATTCACTCTGAGAACAAAGTAGAGACAATCTGAAGATGTTGTTGGGGCTTTGTCAGAATTTGCTTTTATCTATCCTTTTAGGTATAACAGACCTCAGAGGAAGTCCACCCTGGAACAACCTTCTTAAACAACACACACCCAGGAGGCAGGATCTTGGCTACTCTTATAAGTTTGTAACAGTGGACAAGCCACTTCTTGCCTCTAAACGGAATGAGTTGGATTAGACAACTTCTATGATCCCTTCCACTTCTAAAGTCACAGAGTGTGAAGGGTTTTTCTTGTAGTATCTAGGAAAAAAATTTTATAGAACAACTTACCAGTAGTTGGAAGTTCTATTTTATTGCAATGGTCCTGATTGCAGCAATATGTTGTAGTCACAGACCCAGTTTTTGAAGAGGGTGCACATACAAATGGCCTATCTCGAGGAATTAAGTCAATTTCAGCTATACACATGCTGTTGTGTATAACTTTGTCTGTGGTCTCTGTGACAGAGACAAAGCAGAGCCCATCTGTCACACAAGTAAAATTGTCTTTTGTACAGAGGTGGCAGAAACACTGTAATGCTGGAAAAAGAGAAAGATTCTATTAGAAAAAAATCTCAAGGTTAACAGTTTGGAATTATCCAATATTCACTCTAACAATACATTCTTGATCCTATTATCACACAACTTCTATGCACTGTTCAAAAAAACAACTATTCGTTGCTCTTAGAAGTTTCAAATTATATTAAGAACCACACACATGTGGAAGCCCAAGGAAATGTAGTAACACTTGGATCCAGGTTTTTTCCTGAAGTTTTTTGCTTCCAAGTATAGAAAAATTTTGTTATGTTCAATTTCATCAAAGCAAGGCAAGCATTTGCCTTCCCATTAGAAACAAAGTACATTTAAATTTGTAATGGTTATACTTTTTTTTGTTTTGTTTTGTTTTTAACCAGCCCCAAACTAAACATTCACATACTCCTCCTTTGAGAAGCAATGCGTGAAAACACTACCACCCATTAACTGTAGGCTAATGCCATTTCAGGGGCTTTCTGGGTAATGGAGTAACAGAAACAGATTTGTACTGAGCCAGACACTCCCTATTCCCCTTGGTGCAAACCCTAAAAAAGACATGTGTATTCTGGCCAGGACTGGGGCATTCTCTTAGTGAAGCAAAGCAGACTACACCCATAACAATACATACATGCTCCAACCACACAGGCAACCTAACTACAGAAATGATTGGCGGCAAAACACTAGCTTCATGCCCACTTGTATCTACTTGATCTTTACGGCTCAACCCCAGGAGTGACCTCTTGAGGGAAGTCTTCTAATTATCACCAACACCTTCTCATACACACAGATACACCTTCGACCATGCTCTCTGATGAAGTTAAGTGCTCTCCAAAACACACACTGCTTACCAGAATTGCTAGTTTTGTTTTTCTTTCTCCTATGAAACTGTAAACTCCTTGAGGCCAGATACCTGTATTAGTCATTCCTGTCAATCTGCCATCTAACACCATGCCTCATGCACAGCAGCACTCAAAAAATACTTGTTGAATCACAATGATAGAATTGGTGCATAATTTCACCATGGTCACATGAAACTGCAAAGCAGACATGTTCTTAAATCCAAACATTCCAATTACTTGTTAGCAAGGTAAAAAAAGTCTAAGTACACGGAATGGCCATCTATGACGAGAGCAGAGAGGTCCACTGTATCTAGAAAAGGAGTGGCTAGGCAGACGGGGCAGGAGAGACAGAGCTAACTCCCTGAACAGCTAACTTGCTGTACAAGAAAGGGTTAACTCAGCAGGACTGAGTTACTCAAACCCTGCATATTCCCAAGACTTGTCTTCAAAACTAGCCTTGGCTGGCTCTTGGTAGATGAGTTCTGAACCTTTGGAATATTCTCCCTGATAAGATTTCTGTATGCCTGAGGCCTTGGGTCGCATGGTACCAATGCCATCAGACAGCTTATTCTAACAATGTGATTTACAGTGAACGCCTATTACTTCTAGGGGCAGGGTGGGAAAAGTCTGAGGGGCTAAAGCCTGTCATGCAGGTGCTGCAAGCCTAAGTGACTGACCAACAGTAACAACCCTGGACACCAAGGCTCAAGTGAACTTCCCTGGTTGACAACTTCGTGCATGTTGTCACACATTGTTGTTGAATTAAGGCCATCTATGTTATGCCACTGGAATGGGACACCTGGAAACTTGTGCCTGAATTCTCCTAGACTTCACCCCAGGTGCCTTTTCCTTTTGCTGATGTTAATCTGTATGATTTTGCTGTAATTAACTATAACCACGACTCTAACAGCTTTCCTGAGTCTGAGACACCTTCTAGCAAATCAAGTCTGAGCGTGGCCCTGCAGACTTCCAACTCACTTGCTAAACTCAAATTCAGGAATGTCAGGTTCTCCTCAAGTGGCTGTTTCTTGGTTGCCGGCTTAATTCACATACTTGTCTATTATCTTTACAGACCAGTAAAGTTTTACCTTAATCATTAAAAATGCTTTCTTTATTCATAGACAGGTCAGCTATTTGCTTCCTAAATATGAAAGAAACTCAAGAAAATTACAAGAAAGAGACACAATCGTGCTATATACTTTTTTTTCCTTTGAGACGGAGTCTCGCTCTTTAACCCAGGCTGGAGTGCAATGGCACGACCTCGGCTCGCTGCAAGCTCGTCCTCCCGGGTTCATGCGATTCTCCTGCCTCAGCCTCCCTAGTAGCTGGGACGACAGGTGCCCCTCACCACAACCGGCTAATTTTTTAGTAGAGACGGGGTTTCACCGTGTTAGCCAGGATGGTCTCCATCTCTTGACCTCATGATCCTCCCGCCTCAGCCTCCCAAAGTGCTGGGATTACATGCACGAGCCACCACACCCAGCCTTGTAATACATTTAAAGACTGCTAAAAGAGATAGTAATTATTCATGACAATGTGTGATGGTGATGGCTGTCTGGGTATAATTTCCTAAGGAGGAATTCTGAACCAGGAATTCATGGACTGGCTTCAGAGGTACATGAATCCCATAAAACTATAAGCCAAATGTTATATGTATTTACATTTTCAAGGAAAAGCTTTCAAAATCACTCACAAAGGAGTCTGTGACCCACAAAGCACTAAAACTACCACCATAGGAGATTGTCATAATTCTCTCCTAAATCCTCTTTACTCATGATTAGTCATTCAACCCATGTTTTCTAAGCATTACTTTCATCAGTTACTCTACCAAAAGCTTAGTACACAAAGATTAATAACTAATGCTCACAGCCCTTGAAGAGCTCCAATGACAAGTGAAGGAGAACACTGTAATACAATGTGGTAACCACTATATATAAAAAATATTGCCCTGAATACTCTCCCAGTTCTCAGATCACTGTGGCTCGCCTATGTTGATGAGATAAGGGCTAAACACCTAGTCTAACAAGACTTTTAGTTTGGGGTTCCAACTTACTTCTCACACGACAAATGCTATCTAGGGCCACACACCTCTCACCATTATAATAATCATGTCTTTCATGACCTTGGTCTTTACATATAACATCTCTCTGTCTAGTTTAAACCTATCTTCTTATCTGACTCATCCTTTAAGACCCTATTTCAACAGGATCTTTTCCATGATGTGCTCTAAACCTCGCCCTTACCTTCACAATAATTGGTAGCTCCTTTCGATATGTTCCATAGTGCTCTTTGCATACCACCTTTAGAACAGCGCAAATCAATCTATTTACAGCTTGCTGTTAAAGTGTCTTTCATTGCCTTAGGAAGGGCCAAGCTTGTTTTGTTTTTCACATCTCTGAATCCTGGTTCCTTAGGTAGTGATCAGAAAAATACTTGCTAAAATAATGTTTCCCAAACATACTGGGAGAGAAAAGGATGTGTAAGTTGGGTACAAGTTTTGAAAAAATATTTTTGTTTCAAAAGATAATCTAAAAACAAGAATAAACATTCAAGATCATGAGTAGCCACTGTCTCAACACTGGCACTAGGCTTTTACTGCTGCTGCTTCAGTTGTGTGAAGATCCCCTTCAGACCAAATGTTCTTGCGGCACACTACACACAGCATAAGTTTCATAGTCATTGTAAAAGAAAGAGTAAAAAATAAAGGGAATTTGAATCGAGCACATGGCAATACAGGCATGGCATGCATATTCAAAAACCAATAGCCTAACAGCCAATACCATATATGCACTTTATTATACGCAAGTGTTATATGGGTCCTGTATGTGTAGTACAATTTGCAAACATTTGTTAGCAGTAAATACAATTGTAGATATGTCATGTTTTTCCATTCTCATTTCCAGCAATAACTGGTTTAGAAAATCATGTAATGAAAATTTCAATAATGTCAAAATATTAACCTTATCTTCCAATGAACAAAATGGATGACATCTCAGTAAAACTTATAAGCCTGTATTTGAGGAATGCTTGCTGGCAGGTGTTTTGGTTAGGTATGATGTCTCCTCCCGAACTTACCAACAAGGCCTTGAAGTCATTAATACCCTCCTGCATAACATTACTGATGAGAAGAGGCACTACCCACAGCTTTTATTATCACTGAAGTTAAAATACAGAAACAGATTTAAAATGGAATTAGACCTAAAGCTATTTTTTTCTACTGAGAAACCTAAACATCATCTGTCACATGGAATAAATGTATTCATTTGAATTTGTTTTTTTTTTTTTTGTAGTTGTCTTTGTATTTAATTTGCAGATTTGGTTTATAGTGGTGTATGAGCCAAGAACATAAGGGTTTTATATCTAGTTTCATGTCTACAGAATTTAAGTAACATTATGAAAAATACACTCTGTACTTCTCCTTTCAAAGAGGTCATTACATTATGGTAAATTTGAAAAAGTCAGTGCTAAAGGGTTTCTCTTAACTAGTCTTTCAATAAGAAGAGGTCACTAGACAAATAAAAACACCACAATAACATAAAGCTTAACTAGGCAAATATTTCTCTCTCCAGGGAATTAAAAAATTCCATTTCACCACTTGAAATCAGTCTTGATTGACGAGCCTGCTGTTATGTGATACGGCAAAATCATTTAGGGAAAAACTAAAACAGGAACTTAATTTTTTCCATGAACATATGAGTTTTAATTGCCATTTGTTAAAAAAAAATTCAAATTTATTTTACTGATAGATTTGGCCCCTGGCTCCCCACCCGCCCCCCTTTTATTCAACTAGGTTTTTAATTTTTAAATGCATATACAGGGCAAAATTTCAATCTAAAAAATGTATACGATGACATCTCCTTCCACCAGTCCAAAGCCCAAGTTCTCCTCACTCCGCAACACATCACCTTGACTCTTTCATTTGATTCTGCAATTATTCACTAAGCATCTCTATATGCCAGGAACAGTGTGGGCTATGAGGTGTAGAGATGAATAAGACAAGGTATTA